CTTTTTTAATCAAGTTACTTTACTACTTGAAACACTGAATAAAACCTAGGTACTGCCCTGAAATGCACTTCCCCCTTCTACTATTGCTGCAAATATCAAGGTAAAGGAGTGTGCCTATATTCCCCTCAATGGAGATTAGGTAGGTCCTGGCAGAACTAAAGGACAAAAAAAAAAAAAAAAAAAAAAAAGCAGCAAAACCAAGTATCAAAGCTAAAAGATCTTCCCAACAACTTTGAAGCCAAGATTTCAAACATGCAGATTAAAATATACTAAAGAAGTAAATCTCCAAGCATCTAAAAGCACCCAGGAGAAGTAAAAAGCATGGATGCCAGGCATGTTGCCATATAAAGAATTAGATTCTAAGAAAACTGTGGAAGCTGTTAATGGAAAAAGAATCTTAAATACTGAGAAATTCTCAGTGTCTGTGAATACCCTACAAAAAAGTGATGGCAATCTCCCCTACGATTCACTCCAGTTGCAGGTTCAGAGAGGCTGTTTCCCTCATATATGTATCTAAATGAAATGCAGCTAAATCCTATATTTATGATGTAGCTAAATCACATATTTATTTAGAAATATATAAATCATATTTTAATATTTAAAATTAAATTTATACATCATATATTTATAAATGTATAAATCATATATTTAGCAACCACTGTAATGAAAAGGAAGCAACTCTTAGGTTAATTTACAAAAAAACACGTTTTCAAGGAAATTTATCTTGAGATATTTTTCTTTAGTAAAACCAAAGAAACAAGTATCTATTGGCCACAAACTTTGAGGATAATTGCCATTTAAGGTTCTCTTTCTCAGAATGATGTTTATTTAAAATCACAGTAACAGTTATGTTAACAGTTTTAAATTATTAAGTTGAAATAACTGAACAGTTGACGGTTTTAAATTATTTCTCCTGTACCCTTTTTACTATTATGAGAAGAGAGGAAAGCTGCATAAACATAAAGACTAACAGATTGCTGAAATTCTCCCCCATAAGTCTATTTTTTCACATAAACACGCATGTCTCCCTCTTTCCCTCTCTCCTTCTCCATATTCCCTACCTCCCTGTGTAGGCATACAATTCACTTCCTTTCCCAATAATTACATCCAAGAGAGCAGGGGAAATGAAGGAGACACATGATTTGGTAAATAAAGACAATGCAAAAAAAAAATAGCAACAAAAGAGAATATGATTAATGAAAAGCAGTTCTACTATCATTTGATTATACCTAATCAAATGATAGTAGAACTCATAACACATGATGGTCTCACTTCCTCCAGTGAAATAAACCACTAAAACTGGAGCTCCCTTCCTCTTCCAGTCTATTAAAGAAGGCCTATCGTCTCTATTAATCCAACAAATGGCCAAATCATATTTATGTGTGGCAGCTTCTCATATTTCCCCCACTCTCAGCCCAACATCTGTTTGATTGTGATAAGGAAAGAATGCTACAAACTAAACAGAACATTCATTTTATATATTCATTTACATTTACCCAACACACATTTATTAAGCCCATTCTAAGTTCCAGGCACTATGCTTGGCTAGAAGGATCACTGCTAAGATAAGGAGAACTGAAACAAAGAAGAGAGGTTGCTCCAAACTGAAGACTTACTCCATGAAATATATCACTAGGCTCTATTATGCTTTTCCTGTTCTTCTCTACGTATTCAGTAATCTGGCAGGAGGCACCAGAATATACACACAGAAAAGAACAGGTTAAGATAGCTGGTAAATCCCTCACACCTGGCAAAACCATAAGCGTTTTCTTTATTCATTACAATAGAGACTCAAACTCTGCAGAAAAAAGTAGGAAAGTCCTACAACCACACATTATGAAGGATAGGCAGCTACCATGAAGAAAACTACAAATACAGCCAACTTCTTGAGAACATATTGGCAGATTAACACGTTTATGAGCTGGGAAATACCTGCCAATATATTATAAACTATAAAACAACACCTGAAACAACATCCTTGGAGAGACAGAAATAAATGCAAGATTTTTCCATGTATCTATTTGTAACATCGTAATAGTTAATTCATTGTTTTCATCCACTGGAAAAACGCCTTCAAAGTATTTAGTAAAAGAATAAGGGAGGAAGCGTTATGAATTCTTTAAACATCTCCAAAACAGGAATTTCTGCCTCCCTTACTTACTACCTATGTGACCTTCAGCAAATTAATCTCTCTGTGCTTCAGCTTCTTCACATATAAAATGAGGCTATTACCAGGGCAAAAGGCCCTAAAATGGGCCTTATAGGGTGGTACTGAAGATTAAATGAGCTAATACACTGGCACAACTAGTAGCACATAAAAAGCAACCAAAAATGTTAGCTATATTTTTTTTTTTTTTGAGAAAAGGTCTCACTCTGTTGCCCAGGCTGGAGGGCGGTGGCACAATCTCAGCTCACTGCAGCCTCCACCTCCCAGGTTCAAGTGATTCTTGTGCCTCAGCTTCCCAAGTAGCTGGGACTACAGGCATGTGCCACTAGGCCTGGCTAAATTTTATATTTTTAGTAAAGACAGGGTTTCACCATGTTGGCCAAGCTGATCTCAAACTCCTGGCGTCAAGTGATCCACCCACCTCAGTCTCCCTAAGTGATGGGATGACAGCCATGAGCCGCCACACCTGGCCATTAAATACAATTTCTATAACAAATTATCCTGCATTTTTCCAGTAAAAGGGTTTCTAACTTAGGATAAAATCAATATTATTGTCATCAAAAACCTGTTATGTATGTGACTAGTGTCCTAATTGTAAAAAGTCACATCATGAATACAGCTACAGCAAAATGATTTATATGTGTATGTACACAAAAATAAATTACTCTATGCAGAGTATGGTATGAAAAACATAATCACAGTTAATGACATTAGGCATTTTGTATGTTACAAATTTTACATTTGTTATAATATTTAATTTAAAACTGAACCCCAAGTGTAAGCATACAATTCATTTCCTTTCCCAATAACAGTACTATTCGTACTCTTATCCTAGTTACACATATACGGAAACTGAAGAGCAGAGAGAGCTTAATTTACTCAAGTCCACAAAAAGGAAGTGACCAAGACAGAATTAAACCCCAAGTCTTTGTAACCCTCCAAAACAGAGTTCCTTACCAGTATGAACACTACATTCGCAAATAACTCAACTCACTCAGAATTCAAATTATATACACATATATACATTATACCTTTAATGACCTGTAAGGTTACTTATAATGAATGCTGAATGAAATACAAATGCACAACTTACAGACTAGAGGATAAGGACACTTCTTTCACCCTAAGCCAACAATGAGTCTGGATGACTAAGGCACTGCCTATGATACAAGACTCCAACAAGCAAGTTGGTCAAAGAGCTAGTTCAGATTCTTTGCCTTGCTTATTGTTTTGGAGGGTTTTTTTTTTTTTTTTTTTAAGTATTTTACGTCAAACCAGTGGGTGAAATTACTAAACCAATTGAAAAAAAAAATACCACAACTGTCATCCTAAGTGGCCTGGCCTATGCTAAGCATGCTATTACTTACCCTGAATATATTTCCATAGAATGTAAAATAGTAACTATGACTCCCTTCTGCCTATTTCTATTGCCACTAAATAGGTCAAATGTTTTACTATCTTTGCTACGAGACAGGAGTGGTGATGAACAGGAATTAACTAACATCTCTGAAGCGCCACCTGTGTCAAGAACTATAGGCCCCTACAAAAGTTGTGAAATATATCTTCCCAACCATCACACGAGCAAGATATTATTCAAATTTTCCAGATAGGGAAATGAAAGAGAGACTTAAGTGTCTTGACTAAATCATCCACTAAGAAATGGACAGAGCCTGAATCTGAACTCTAAATCTAGAGCTTGCTCAGCCATGGATTCCAGAAGCAGCCTCAGCAATGCTTAATGAACAAGCCTATGTACCTAACTTTCTTTGCTGGCTCTAGTCTCCTAATTCCAACCCATTTACTATCCCAGAATCAATGTGGATGGGGAATCTTGGTAGGAGAGAATTTGTACACTGCATATAGACTTACTCCTCAACATGATCAAGAGAAAACAATTTGAAGAGACATTAAGAAACTAATGTGTAAAAATACACATTGGGTTCCATGTGCATTTTTTAGCCAGACACTTGAGGAAATTATCACTGGGGGAAAAATAACAAGTTTAACTCCAAGTATGAAACAAAAAGCTTAATTAATTAGCTGAATTTATTTTAATGTTTCTTAACTTTTTAATCCTTCATATTTCTTTCCTTCATTGTACTACAGAACTTCAAGAAATGGACATAGCAGTTTATTTTAAGTACTTGAATTGCTTTGTTAGAATATGAAAACATTACTTTCAGAGAAGATATCAAATGACCTTGATGATCTACACAACATTCATTACAGACTGGTAAACATTTGTGAAAATCCTTGCTGTGATGATTGATTGCGTTTTTCCTTGCTTCAGTTACTGCAAACTAAATTGCCTGTCGTTAAAGTGATGACTTCTGTCAACATAGTTTCTTAATCCTTATTCAGTCCTTTCTAGGAATGACAACCTTAGAATAATATATTGTAAGTCTTTATGGATCAATAATGCTTAGTATAAAACACTGCAATCTACCACCAGAATTTTTATCCTTCTATTTATAATGATCTCTGACAAGCTAACTAGCAGTAAAATTTCTTACTAAGGAGAAAAAAAGACACCTAACAAACAAGCCAAATACAACACGATAAACAGCATATGCCAATCCAAATAAGTTAAGAATTTTGAGTGAAGCTCAATGTTAGCAAAATGCTTTTATCCTAAAGTAGTTAATGACTAAGATGTCATTTGTTGACTACCCAAGAATAAAATTATTATTCAAGCCCTTAGATATTTTGAAATGATATATGGGAGGCTATTTATGTAAAAAGCCTTCTCTACAATGTCAGAAACAGAAAACTTCCACTTAAAAACCATAAAACATAAGGCAATGCATACCCTGGTCAATTTTTTCTCCATAAGCAATTAGAGGACTTTTTCTTTTCATTTAATCTATATTTAGATTGTGAGATATCTTTACATGAGAAGTAGGTTATAATTGCCTTTAAACAATACAATTTAGATATTTTCATTTAAACTAAAAATTACTTAAAATAAATGCCATTCAACAGAATGATGACCCTGCTTTACAGTTGGCATTGCCTCTTTTATACAAAGAGTTATGTTAACTATGTTTTCTCTAAATCTGTATTTTTATCATGTATTAAATTCAACTAACCTGATATCTTTGACAGCATTAAACTGGAAGGGAAATTTTTCAACAGGCTAGCAGTTCACCATATTTCTTCTCCCAAACTAGTTAACTAATGAGGGGAAATAATCTGGTTTTATTGTTGGGTATTATTTTTTTAAACAATCAGTTTATTGGATTTATGGAAGAATTAACTTCTTATCAACTTATTAAACTTTCTGGGGGAAAAATGTAACCTCCACGCATTCTTTCTCAAGAAACTACTGGGAAAATTAAAATTAAAGGTGTAAAACAAGTAAAAGAAAAATATAGAATGAAGAAAAACAGAAATCTAATACAGAAAAGAGACAAAAGAAACCTAAATTGAAGCAGGAGGGCTGAAAGTTTCAGAAGGAATGTCTCTAAAAACAACAACAAAAAGCCAAACGCTATTTTATTTGGTCATTCTAAAAAGTGCTTAGAGTTCTCCCAGTCTGGAACAAGAAGCAGTAATTGGTACAAAGAAAATTAAGCAAATGGAGGTTTTAGAAGTTATTAACTTCCACTAAAAAAACAAATGAATACCTCAGAGATATTGTAGGTTCAGTTCCAGACCACCGCAATCAAGTGAATATCATAAAAAAGCAAATCATATGAAGTTTTGGTTTCCAGTGCATGTAAAAGGTATGTTTACACTATGCTGCATTCTATTAAGTGTAAAATAACATCATGTCTTTAAAAAATGTACACCTCTTAACTAAAAATACTTTTTTTGAAAAAAGATAGTTGACTAGAAGCATTTCAAGCATGCCTCATGCACTTAGAAGAACCCAAATGATGTGTAGACAGTCACACTTTGAATACATGCCCAAGAGGAAACACAGGAGTTCAATAGAAAAGCAAAAGGAAACACTGCAAACGAGGAAGGAAAAAGAGAACAGGCAACCTGCTTGGCTGGGATGGGCCAGGAATTGGGAGTTATTCTCCAATATGGGAGAGGCTAAGTGAGGGTCCTATTTCCCACTATCCTACAAGGGAATCATACAATCCAGGCCACCAGAGAATGCCCTGACCCTCCAATCCCCAAATCTAACTTACAGAGTGGCTAGAAGGCTGTGAAAAGAAAGTACTTGAGGGAAACAACACACCCTGGGTCCCACATCCTTTCTCAAACCTAAGAGACAGTAAGATGCCATTCTCAATCTTAGCGCTTAAAAGACTGTGTGCGGTCCTAGCAACCCGCTTCACCACTTCTAGGTATTAGGAAAACTTGGGCTGTTGCATGCAGACAGAGGCATGAGTTGGGGGGTGAACTCCTGCAACCAGGACAGAGAAAAAAAGTGTGACATGGGCTGCAGCTCCCAGTGTTAGAAGAAGGCACTGTCTCTAGGACTCAAGCAGGAGGAGAGTTGCTATAGAGGCTTGGTCTTGAGCTTGGCAGGGGCTCCAATGGCCCATGACTGAGTTGCAAGCCAGGTACAGCTGCCAGGTCTGACTGAACAGCAAGGTCAGCTACAACAGCCGGGACAGGGGAGTGAGCCCTACCAGAATTGGGGTATGAGTGGGATGCAAGGCCTTAGCCACTGGATTTAGCCCCACCCTCCCTGTGGCTGGACCTCAATGCTGCAGCAACCACCACTCACCCAGGCATTCTCCCAGGGGCCTGAGAACTGCATCACCTTCCCATCACAGCTGGTGCACGCACTTGCCATTCTGGGCCTGAGTGCAAGCTTGACCAGTCCAGATGTGCCTGGCTTTACCCAACCTCCCTTGACAAGACAGAGTGAGAGATTCAGGATCCTAAAGGTTACAAACCAATCTGCCACCTGGTACACTGAAGCACTCCTCCTGAGAGACTGAGGTTGGTCATAAATACCCTGCTGTTTCTGGCTCTTACCTGTAAGCACCACCTGCTGACCTGTAAGCCAGCCTGCACATTTCAACCACTGCCAACACAAGCACACAGCATTTGGAACCCAGAAAAGTATCTCAACACTGTTACTGCCATCAACAATGCCATGCCAACCAACCCAGAGACTTGTGAGCCCACTTCACCTGTCCCAACATCCAAGAAAGACACCTAGAGGCCCAAGAATCAGCATGCCTGGAATCACTAACACCTGCCAGTGTTCAAAGCCCTGGTAACAAAGATAGACATGCTTAGTCCACCACCATCACCACTAAAACTTGAAGACCAGGCCATCCAGCATCCCAGAACCCAGCACAACTTCATCACAGTCTCCACCAACAACGGCACTCTAACAAACTGAGGAAACCACAGATGCCAGAAATGCTATTTAGCTAAAATAATAATATTCATAATCATACAGAAACTTAAGTGCTACATGCACCCAGAAACAACACCAAAGCATCCTACTCAACTAACATCATACTCACATCTTCAGAAAAACAAAACAAAACAAAACAAAAAAAAAAAAAAAAAACACCCCTCTAAAGTCCCCCGCCTCCAAGGAAAATAAATTCAAAACTAGGAATAAGTGACCATTTCACCAGATGAGCAGAAATCAGTGAAAAGGCACTGGAAACAGGAAAAAGTAGAATAATATGACTCCCCTAAAGAGGCACAATAATTCTCTACCAATAGATCTTAACCAAAAAAAATTTTTTCACAACCCCAGATAAAGAATTTTAAATATTTAAAGAACCTCAACAAGATGCAAGAGGAGTCTGAAAACAAATACAAAGAACACAGAAAAACAATTAAGAACATTAATGAAAAATTTACCAAATAGATATCTTTGGGAAAAAAAAAACCAATTCTGGACTAAGGAATTCAATGAAGGAAACAGAAAATACATTTTAAAAATTTCCAAAAAAGACTAGACCAAATAGAAGAAAGAATTTTAGAACTTGAAGACAACTCTTTTGAAATAATCCAGTCAAATAAAAACAAAGAAAAAATTTAAAACAGAATAAGCAAAGCCTTCAAGACATTTGGGACAAAGTAAAGCAACTGCATTTATAAATTATTGGTATCCCTAAAGAAAAAGAGAGATCAAGAAGTTTAGAAAAACTGTTTGATGAAATAATAACTGAAAACTTCCCAAGTTTAGCAAGAGATATAGACAACCAGATACAGGAGGTTCAGAAATCCCCAGGCAAATACCATGCAAAAATGACTTTGCCATAGCACATTATAATCAGACTACTTAAAGTCAAAGTAAAAGAACAAATTCTGAAAACAGAAAGAAAAAAAGCACATAGTCACCTATAAAGGAAATTACATCAGATTAACAGAGGACTTCTCAGCAGAAACCTTACAGATCAGAAGAAAATGAGATGATATACTGAATGTGCTGAAGGAAAACATTGCCAGCAAGATTAATCTTCATAAAAGAAGGCAAAATAAAGTCTTTCACAGGCAAGCAAATATTGAAAACTGGCTTTAAAAGAAATGCTCAAGGAGTCCTAAACTTGGAAGCAAAAGGACAACATTAACCTTCATAAAAACACATGAGAATATAAAACTCATTGGCAAAGTAATCACACAAAGGAGAAAGAGAAAGAAATGTCACCACAACAGAATATCACGAAACTACCGTAACAAATACAGAAAAAAAAAAAGAATTTAGAAAACAATTACAATATGACAGGAACAAAACCTCACATATCAGTGTTTGTCTTTTTCAAAAACCAACTCTTTATTTGTTGATCCTTTGTATTTTTTAATGTAAATGAATTAAATGCTCCAATTAAAAGCTATACATTCGATAAATTAAAAAGAAAACATGATCCAACCATATGCTGATCACAAGAAACTGACCTTACCTATAAAGATAAAGACCTAATTTCATAATTGTTGTGTCTCAAGGAATAGAGAGGTGCAGGAGGAGACAGTGGAAGACTGGTCAGTGGAGCAGTCAGAATACATGCAACATTTACCAATTAAGCTTAGCATTTTACATGAACACAGATCATGGTACCCTAAAACAATTAAAACTTGAATATCACCAATAACCATAACATATATAATAATAATGGAAATGTTTAAAATGTTGTGAGACAATAAAATAAAAAAACTGCAGGCCAACATCATTGATGAACATAGATGCAAAAGTCCCCAACAAAATACTAGTAAACTATATCCAGCAGTATATCAAAAAGCTAATTCACCACAATCAAGCAGGATTTATCTTTGGGATAAAAGATTGGCTCAACATACATGTCAATAAATGTCATTCATCTTATAAATAAAACTGAAAACAAAAACCACATTATTATCTCAATAGATGCAGAAAAGGCTTTCAATATAATTCAACATCCCTTCATGTTAAAAACCCTCAACAAACTAGACACTGAAGAAAGGTACTTCAAAATAATAAGAGCCATCTATGACAAACCCACAGCCAACATTATACTGCATGGGCAAAAGTTGGAAGCATTCTCCTGGAAAACCAGAACACAGGAAGCCCTATCTCACTACTATATTCAACATAGTACCGGACATCCTGGACACGGCAATTAGGCAAGAAAAAGGAATGAAAGGCAATCAAATAGGAAAAAATGAAGTCAAACTATCCCTGTTGCACACTATATGGTTTTCTACCTAGAAATGAATGTTCTTAATGCCATCTAGAATGGTGAATCCTTTCCAGAAAGTTTTCAATTTAGAACTATATAGCTCTCTAGCTAGAAACCTTATAGCATCTGCCCCAAAACTTCTTGAACTGACAAACAACTTTAGCAAAGTTTCAGGAAACAAAATCAACGTACAAAAATCATATCATTCCTATATATAAACAACATCCAAGCTGACAGCCAAATCAAGAATGCAATCCAATTCACTATAGCCACAAAAAAAGGAATAAAATACCTAGCAATACAGCTAAACAGAGAGGTAAAGGATCTCTACAGTAAGAATTATAAAACACTGCTCAAAGAAATCAGAGACAACACAGAAAAACATTCCATGCTCATAGTTAGGAAGAATCAATACTGTTAAAATGGCCATACTGCCAAATGCAATTTACAGATTCAATGCTATTCCCATCAAACACCAATGACATTATTCATAGAATTAGAAAAAAAAACTACTTTAAAATTGATATGGAACCAAAAAGATCCTGAATAGCCATAGTAATCCTACGCAAAAATAATAAGGCTGGAGGCACCACATTACCTGACTTTATAGTACAAGGCCTACAGTAACCAAAACAGCATTATACCGGAAAAAAAAAAAAAAAAAAAAGATACACAGACAAATGGAACAGAATAGAGAGCCCAGAAATAATGACAAACACCTACAACAATCTGATCTTCAACAAAATCAACAAAAACAACTAATGGGAAAAAAGACTCCCTATTCAATAAATGGTGCTGGGATAACTGGTTAGCCACATGCAGAAGATTGAAACTGGATCCCTTCCTTAGACCATCTACAAAAATCAACTCAAGATAAATTAAAAACTTAAACATAAAACCTAAAACTATAAAAATACTGGAATATAACCTACTAAATACTACGTTGGACATACGACCTGGCAAAGATTTCACGACAAAGATAAAAGCAATTGCAACAAAAACAAACACTGACAAATGGGACCTAATTAAAGAGCTTCTAAAAAGCAAAAGAAACTACTGACAGAATAAACTGAAAATCTACAAAATGAGAAAAAATATTTGCAAACTATGCATATGACAAAGGTCTAATATCCAGAATTTATAAGGAACTTAAATCAATAAGCAAAAAGTAACAATTCCATTAAAAAGTGTGAAAAGGGATGAACAGACACTTCTCAAAAGAAGACATACACATGGCCAATAAGTATATAAAAAATGCCCAGTATTACTAATCATCAGAGAAATGCAAATAAAAACCACAATGAGATATCATCTCACCCCAGTCAGAATGACTATTATTAAAAAAAAATAATAACATATGTTGGTGAGGCTGTGGACAAAAGGGAATGCTTCTATACCACTGGTGGAAATGTAAATCAGTTCAGCCATTGGGGAAAGGAGTGTGGTGATTTCTCAAAGGGCTCAAAGCAGAATTACCATTCAACCCAGCAATCCCATTATTGAGTATATACTCTAAGAAATATAAATCATTCTACCTTACAGACAAATGGATGTGCAAGTTCATCACAGCACTATTCACAATAGCAAAGACATGGAATCAACCTAAATACCCATTGATGGTAAACTGGATAAAGAAAATATGGTACATATACACTATGGAGTACTGTGCAGTCATAAAAAGAATGAAATCTTATCCTTTGCAGCAACATGGATGGAGCTAGAGGCCATTATCCTAAGGAATAGAAAACCAAATACTACATATTCTCACTTATAAGTAGGAGATAACCACTGAGTACATAAGAACACTAAGAAGAGAACAACAGACATCAGGGCCTACTTGAGGGTGGAGGGGAGGAGGAGGATGAGGATCAAAAAACTACTTTATATCAGGCACTATGCTTGTTACCTGGGTGGTAAAATATTCTGTATAGCAAATCCCCACAACATGCAATTTACCTATATAACAAACCTACACATGTACCCTTGAACCTAAAATAAAACTTTAACAAAAAAAAACTTTAAAGTCACTTTTAGAAAAAAATAAAACATTGTGATAGTTACCAAAATATGACACAGAGACATGAAATTAGCACATGCTATTAAAAAAAATGGTACCAATAGACTTGCCGGATGTAAGGTTGCCACAAACCTTCAATTTGTAAAACACACAGTATCTCAGAAGCACAATAAAGCAAAGCACAATACAATGAGGTATGCTTATAAATAACAACAGTTACAAAAAGGGGGAAAAACAACTTAGTACATTACACAGCTCTGTTGCAAATGTTCACATAGTAATAATGGTGTGATATCAATATATTGGAAGGATGGGAAGAGAAAAATGAAAAACAGAAAATGATGGAAGGGAATAAAGGTATTATTTTATTTCATAGTAGAAAGGCATTATGTAATTAAAATTTAAAAGTCAGGAAACAGTAGTGAGAAATTTGTGTGGGGTAATACAGAGGAAAATAAAAGAGGAAATACAATAACAAAAAGTTGAAAGCAGCTGTCTCTGTGGAGAAGACTAAGGAATGGAGAGAGGTATCTGCTCTTCACTTTAAACATAACTTTGACTTTTTAAACTATGCACACTTACTACTTTTAGAAACATTTTAAATTACTTGAAGTAAAACTGCATGAATCAATATTGATAACAAATCAAAATATGTTGGGCATAAAACGAAAATTGCAGAAAGTTCACTATTGATGCCATTTATGCCAAGTTTAAATACAGAAAACCAGACAAAAAGAGGGAAGTGTGTACTATGAAGTTAAGCAAACTGGAACACCTCTACTTACTAGTAATGACATCATGGGTAAATGAATGACCAGCTCTTAGCTACGGCTTTCTCACGTACAAAATAGAGATAACAATAATACCTACATGATAATGTTGTTTTGTAAATTAAATATAATACACACAAACTACCTACGCCTCATAATGTGTTATTATTTTTCTCCACTTTTCAACTTTTCTATAATGAATATGTAAATTTAATTCAAAAATGTTTTTCTAAAATGTTAGCACACTCCTTGAATTAGGAAGTTGTATCTATTCTTCGTTCTAACATTTGAATGCTTTTAAAGGAATAGCTTAGCCTCAATTACACCTCCTTTGTGCTGATCTCACACACAAACAAACACTGGACCAATATATAAAGAAGTATCAGTTTGAAGAAGTGCCCTGATCTCCTCCTCTGCTTCTATTCATTCTACAGATATTGGCCATTCATGAGGTTTCATGGAATGGTATAAGAAGGTATGGGGACTGTAAAGATGCAAAATGCATGGTGACTGTGCTCAAAGAGCTTACTGTAATCAGGAGAGGGAAGCAGAGAGGAAACAAGCAAATGCTGCCACAACATGACATGATATGTCATGGTTTTGAAGTTAGGCAGTCTGGGGTTCCAATCCTACAACTGTGTTTTGGGGAAAATTTCTCAAACTCTTAAGTTCCAGTTTCCTATGTAAAAATCTGAAGACCAGAAATTGCCTTGGAAGGTTGCCTAACAGACAGGATAATATCCTTAAAGCAACTATCATGTGACTTACAGTATGTGCTCAATATTTGGTAACTCTTGGTTCTATTAAAATTATTGTAGGAGATACCTTCTAAAATGAAAAATTCAGGGGAAAACCTTTGTACAAGTCTATTTTGCTATGTAAAAGATTCACAAAAATGCACAAATGAATGCTATGCAGATTCATAGGGAGAGAATCTACTTTCAGATAAGACAAACTAAGGAATCTTTTTAGTGGAGACACTGGCATTTTAAATATCATCTTCCATAAATCTTAAGACACATTTTCACATTTTAACATCTCTGAAGCTGGGTGTATCTGGCAATGATGGTGTGTCAGTTTAACACGCAACATTTTTTCTTAGTGGTACATAAATTAATAACACACCTAAGATTCAGTGAAGTAGAGTCCATAGGGATGAAGAGAATTCCGCAGAATGGCAATAGCAAATGCAGAGTACTAGGCATGAATGTTGGCACACATAGCTCAGGTTGGCTGGTCTGTCATATTCAAAGAGGAGTTAGGAAGCAAGGCTTAAAAGGCAGACTTTAATTAGTTGTTTTTTTACCCCATGTCTCATGATCACATTATTTTACTATTTCTATATGGTAAATCTTGGTATTTGGTAAGATAAATTTACCCTTAGTGTTCTTCAAAATTATTTGGCTCTTCGTGCTCTTACTTTCTCATGTCAATTTTAAATCAGATTGTCAAATGTTGTAAAAAGAAAATGGGATTTTAATTGTAATTGTACTGAACTTAATGCATTAATTTTGGGGAAATTTCCAATCAATCATAGAAATTTCTATTCAATCATAGAAATTACAGAACAAACTATAGAACAGAAAGTCCTGTTTTTCTATCCAAAAGCATAATACTGCTCTCCATTTATTTAGATCTGACATCTTTCAATAAAGTTATAACTTTTTCCGTAAAGGTCTTACGTATCTTTTGTTGGATTTATTCATTGGTATTCTGGTGATTGTTATTGCAAATAATGTTTGAATTACATTCTGTAAATTGATGGCATATTAAGCAATCTCAAATATATATGGTGGTTCAATTAATATTAATGTTTAATCTTGCTTTTCTGTATGTTGATATAGATCACAATTTTAAAATTAACAAAACATTCCCATGATATACAGAACATTAAAACTGCAAAGTTCATACCACATATGCAATGTCATTTAAATTAATTTTAAAAATAGATTTAAATTGTCCTGGAAAGAACACAGCATCCAAAACCTACTCTCATGTAGATTACACAATACATATAAAATGTTGGATTATTAAATATTGGACTAGTCCCATTTCTGTGGCTGTGAAATAAATGATATGAGTGGTAATGATATCAAAACAATTATTCTCACCCATCTTAATGACTACATTCTGTCAACTCTCAACTGCTCACACCAACAGAGAGAAACAATGATACACCCAACAAAAAAACACAAATAGTTCACTTAGGTGAGTTGAAGACATGCTAAAAAGTTAGATGTCCTCTAAATTTCTAAGTACTCAGAACAGCCAGGTCATCATCTGCTCTACTTTTCCTTAAAACAACTTCACTGATCACAAGACAGCTGGTGGCAAAGAACTAAAATTACCGGCAGAAGAAATGAATCCCAGACAGTTTCCTTAAAGTGTGAAATAGGCTCTATACAGACATTTATTTTTTCTTTAATTTCTTTAACCTAAGTTCTAAGTTCTCCTTACTGTCATAACTTTACCCTTTTTTAGAGGAATATTAACAAACTTAAAAAAAAAAATGAAAATAGTGAAGTGAGTTTGGGACCAGTATGCTAATGTCCAAATTGCCATGTCCTGAGCTTCAGATCTCAAGACATCCAACTGCATACGTGGACATTCCTAACCAATTTGACATCTCAAATTTGACATGTTTACTACTGAAGCCCACCCATTCCCAAAACTATGTCGTCTTTCCATTGATCCCTATGTCAGTGACTAGTAGTTCAAGCCAGAAACCCAGCAGTCAGTCTTGAGTACTGCAAAAAACATTCTGAACCCAACATACAATTAATCATCAAGACTTGCTGGCTGACTCTACTTCCTTAATACCTTCTCTCCTCTCACTATCACTGCCCTCAGTTCAGGTGGTCATCATTTCTTTACTGTTGCAGTAATTCCTTTA